CTGAAGCCCACTGATGGAGAATTAGGAACACATCAGAGCAAATGCCACCTGCCCTCCAATAGAGGGATCTTCTGCAACCTCCTGAGTAGTCCCAAAGGTTCTGGCTGGCATTGAATATTAGGGTCCCACTTGAAAAGTAAATCTCTCCCTAAATTTTCAGGGATGACATCTGAGCAGGAAGAAGTGTTTGGCAGAGAAAGGCTCGCAAGTGCACACAGGAACAGTTAACACTCATGGATTACCGGAAACACTGTCTGTGCTCTGTGTTTACCCTACAGAAAAGTAGAGGAAAAAGGCAGAATTTATACAGAAAAAGCTGTGCTGTATGTACCAGAAATTGATAAGGGGTAATGGATAGAATTGTGTCCCCAAAAGATATGTTCAACTCCCCACCCCTGAGCCAGGGGATTTGATATTACTTGGAAGCAAGGTCTTTGTAGAGGTATCATGTTAGATGATATCATAGCACACCAGTGTGGGCCTGAATCCAGTAACTGGGCTGCTTAGAAAGAGGGACAGGTATGCATGGGGCTTGGGATGTAGCTCCATGGTGATAGCGTTCAAGAGTCCTGTCTTTAAATCCTGGCACACACCCCCAAAAAATGGGTGGAAGAGGCCGCATTTGAAGATGGAGGCAAAGATCGGAGTGATGTAGCCACAAACACAGAGATGCCAAGGAGTGATGGTAACCATCAGAAGCCGCGGAAGCCGGGGCTTCTCCCCAGCTCCTTCAGAGGGAGAGGGTCTGCCAATCCTTGACTGCCAGCCTCCAGAGCTAAGAGGGCTACATTTCTGTAGTTTTACAACACCATTTGTGGCAATTCATGACAGCAACTCCAGGAAACTGGCACAACCCCTGTACTCATAGTGGGTTCTCTGCATGTTACGCAGCAATGTTTCCTTCCTCAGAGCATGTACTTCACTGGCCAGGCTGAAAGGTCTTTCTCTTGGCTTGGTTTTTCTTTTTTAAGTGGGAACAGACTTTTTTTCAGAGTCCCTTCCAGCAAGTATCCTTGTTGATAGACAGTAGACAGGGCCGTGGCTGCCCAGGTTTGGTCTACAGGGTGACAGTCTGCTCTTCCCATAGGGCTTTTTACTTTCAGAGTGCCTGCGGTGAGCTGTGGTTTCTGCAAAGGGCTGCTTGCTGTCTGATCTGTTTCTGGCCTACATTCTGGGTTCAGGTTTAACTCTTGACAAAATGAGATGACGGGCTACTTTTCCAACTCCACAGTGTCATCATCTATTTCCTAGTGTACCCCCAAAATCTTCTACAGATGCATCTCTGTTTGCATGATTGAATTATAATCCAGTCTTCTGTGTTGAAAATATCTTAGGTATGGCTTCTAGGATATTTCATCCAATGTTTTGAGCCATTTTGTGGCCTCTTGGGTTTATTGTATACAGAGGAATCTCATAAGTTCCTTTCCAGGTGAGTCCAACTCAATTTTGCCACTCAGGATTTAGCCCTGGAGGTTCTGATCAAGGCGTGTGCAGGCTGGTAGAGATCAGGTAACTTTGGACTACACACCTCCACTGTATTCTAAACTAGTCTAGGAATAGTGGCTGGGGGGGTTGTTGTTGTTTTAGGGTTGTTTTTTTTGTTGTTGTTGTTTTGAGTCCTCATTATAGTTTTTTCTTCTTTTTGTGGTGCTAGGATTTTGTTTTGTTTGTTTTGTTTTGTTTTTTTGTACCAGGGATCAAACTCAGGACCTTGCGATTGTGAGGCAGGCAGCAGAACTGCTAACCTAAATCCCAGGCCCTGCGGTGCTAGGATTAACACCATGCCTTTGCAGTGAGCCACAACCCCGACCCTTTTGTTTTTTATTTTGAGACAGGGACTCACTGCTTGGGTCCAAGAGACAGAGCAGAAGGACACTAGGGAAGGAAGAGGGGTGAAGGGAAGAAATGAAGTGAAGTAGGGGACAATCTACCAGGAAGCTGAGTTCAGTTTGTTAAATTGTTCATAAGTTTTGGGCAAAGAATCTGTTAGGGAAGCAGTGTTTGAATTCAAATTCCATTTGGAGTATGTGATTATGAATTAAAAACAGCTGCCTGCTGGGCCTAAAACTCTTGACTTTCTAGGGCTTCTCTCAAATGAGAAATTTTGCTCCAGTTGGATGATCCACATCACCCATTCTGGAGTTAATGCTCTTCAGAATGGGCTCGGGCACCCCCTCATCCTATAAGGGGGCCATAACCTGATAGCTCTGTGTGAGCTGAAGGTGTTGTGACTCACCTAACATGCCTGCACCCAGCTTGGCACCATGGTGTGGTAGAGTGAGCTGCTCAGAAGGCTGACTATGAGCTGAGGCCCAGCACAAGAAGCCACTTACTAGTATCCCCAAAAAAGATCAAACTTCAAAATACTGTGAGTGTGTGTGTATATGTGTGTTTGTGGTGTGCTGGGGATCAAACCCAAAGCTTTACACATGCTAGGCAAGTCCTCAACCCTGAACCATATCCCCCACCCTCAAATTATGCTTTCTATTGAATACTGATTTGCTTTCTCACCAACATGAAGTCGAGCAGTAGTAAGTCGGTGGCTAATTTAAGAGGAGCTTTGGAGGAGGAGGCTTGGGCTTACAGTTAGCATATGAGAGCCACCACAACAGTGGCAGAGGTGTACTGTGTGGTCTCCTGGAACACAAAGTCAAGAGGGAGCTTCCTGCAACCTATTGGTGGCCAAAGCACATCTGTCCAAGTAGACACCAATTTGATAAGAACAGCAAATTCACAGCTCAAGACAGAGATCCTGAGGCCCAGGCCTGTGTTTCCCTGTGAGTTCCCTCTCATCACAATGCTAGCATAGATACAAGATGGGAGAGGAGGGACATGACTCCATTGAAGATGCCACCCACACAGGCATCAATCCAACCCCTGGGTATCAAACAGAGCAAAAGCAGAGCTCAGACTCAGTGTTCACTCAGCTGCATCGGTATGGGCTCCACAAACAGACCTCTGCTGCACGAATGCCCACAGCTGGGGGAGGCTGGTGATGTCGGTGACAAGCCGTGCAGAACAATGTCGAGCCACCAGGACACCAGAAACAAATGAAGACCCCCATAGAGGGGAAGCACTTCGGCTTGACATCATCACCTACTGATGGCTTGCTGTGGGGCTGGGGTATGGGAAGGGAGGGTTTCAGATTGGCTGTTGTTGGGAGAAGCTTTGAAAAAAACTGCATTTTCCTGGTGTGAAACACAATTGTGCTTTAGTGCTTTCTACAAGGAAACTACTTATTGTGTAAGCCCCAGTATATATGACCCATGATCCGCTACAGATTTTGAATTGTGGTCTATCTGCTATCCAAATAACATACACTTGGTAACTTAGCTATGTAAAAAGTCATAAGTTAAAATTTAAGTTCACTAATGGGAGAACCTCATTTACTACAAAAGTAATTCTATAGGGAAATGCAAATCACAGTTTAAAATACCTGACAACTCAGCATAATCTGGCTGCCTCAAGGCCAAGCAGGTTCCCTGTCTTGGAAAAATTTTGTCATTTTCCTCCCTGGATTTCTGTTTTCTCCAATGTAAATTGCAGACCCTGACCTAGGGCTGTTGGGAGGGCTCAGTGGTTCAGAGTGTGGGATCTCTGGCAATCATATTACACAAGAAGAAGGAGGAGGGCAAGGGGAGAGCAGACACCACAATTGAAAGGGGTGGACAGCAGACTGGGAAGAAGAAAGTGCTTGGTGTGGCAAGCGGCTGTGCACATCAAAGATTGTGATGGTTCCAAGTTTGGTTCATGGAGACACAGACTCCATCTGGAAGGCCTGTGGGATTCACCCACAGTTCCGGGGTCCGTGGTGTCTGCAGTGGGGCAAGGCCCATGCTTGGCACGGAGCAAAACAGCAGGAGTGGTATATCCTTGCCCCATGGAGCAGACAGCCCACCCAGCTGAGAGTGTCCAGGAGGAGAGGAACAGCTGATGCATGTGCCTGGAGACATAACTCCTAAAGGCCATCGGTAGGGATATCCAGGGCACACAGAGTGGCTGGACCTGGACTGAAAATTTGGAAGCCACCAGCCTGCGAACGTCATCCCTGACTTCCGTGAACTGCCACATGCACTGTGTTCACTTGACAAGACTCCTGTTTTATCATTTTAAGCCTGCCATGGCTGCGGTATGCACTATCTGCAGTTCTCCCAGGAGAGAATATTGCACCTTCACATTCACAGTCTGCCGTGGGGTACTCTGGCCCACTCGAGGAGCCCGACCCTAGTGCCGCCTCTCTTCCACTCTCCTACACCAGGCATCCACGACCCGGAACTCGAGGCCCTAGATCTAAGGTGCCCTGAATCTTCCGAGGGCCCTGGCTGACCCAATCCTGCAGGTGCCGTCTCAGAGACCCTGCTGGCTTCTACACCTCGTCTACACCCATGAGCTTCTGCATAGACCCACCGGAAAGTAAATGCCCCTGGCTGAGACTTTGTGCCTGTTCAGGGGTGCACGCAGTGGACAGGCCGACAAGAGTGAGCAGCGGTAGCCTGTTGCAAGGTGGGCAGTACCAGCCGGTAGTGGGAGGGGCCGAAAAAGTGAGCGGGGACCGAGTGCCTTGGGCGGGGCGCTTGGAGTACTCAGAGAGGCGGCCCTGGGTGGTGAGCGGAGTGGGCGGGGCCTGATGTGAACGTGGCCTGGAGAAGGCAACTAGTAGTGTCGGCAAGAGCCTATGTGGGCGGGGCCAGGGACAGGGCTGAGCTGTATAACAGGAGTCTAGAATGGGCGGGGG